TCGTGTTTTGGTTGTCTAGCTACCCGAGGATTTGACCGGTTGGGATGTAGGAATTTCAGAATTTTATCATGTTTGGGGGCTGGTTTTGTTAAGTTCCTCTTATTTCTAAGTCCTGGGATTTTGCTAAAAACATGAAATTATGTTAATCAAGTGTAAGTCATATATATATATATATATATATATATATATATATATATATATATATATATATATATATTATATAGGGTCAGGTTCTAATGAGAAGACATCTTAACGTGAGAAGTGAGAAGTTACACATTTACCTATTCCTGGTGCACTTTTTTGCTAATATGATGCACTTTTTGCGATGGCAGAAAAAGTTCCGATTAATTACGGAAATGCCACCGCGTCTAGCATCACTTTTTAAATAATTTTTGCACTTTCCCATGCATTTTTTTGCTAATCTGATGCACAGATCTTAAAATGAACGCACCAGATGCATTCTCACTTCTTACGATAAGCACTCTTCTCATTTGATCCTTATTCTATATATATATATATATATATATATATATAGTTGTCCATCGAAGAACCGTTGCTCGTGGACGCTCTACACGCACACACCGGGTAAGTACTCTGCGTGAATCAGGTAAGTCATCACCACCTATACATGATAGTTCCAAATAAAGTATGAAAGTCTAGCTAATTATGAACTGGATATATTTGCTTGAATACTTGAAATTGTATGGCATGATGTTATGTGAATTCCAAGTGACATGTATGTATTGACATGTGATGTTAATTATAGAATTATGGAATGATTAAGGGTAAGGTATCCAAGTGCCATGTTTGATTTTAGTTAGGTTCATATAGAACCAATGATGAAAGGAAGATATGTTCATAATGATATCTAATGAATGATAAGAAATGTTCTAAGGTAGTCGTGCCCCCAAGTAACTACCAGAGCTGAGCGTAGCGGGGCATCCTTCCGCGGGGAGTCTCGGGATTACTTTTGATGGGCTGAGGGCTAGCTACCCGAGGTCATCAGTGAGGGGCCATGACACGAGCTACATGCCCATAAACTCAAAGGACAAAGTGAGAAGGATGAATGATGAATAAGGAAACCCCTTAGATTTCGCTACTTGAACTTTTTCTTGTCATGATATGTGTTTTGTATGTGGTTATGTCTTAGAGCATCTCCATTCATGATCTCTAATAATCAATTTTTTATATGATTCTTACCATTTAAATATTGTTATGTAATTAATTATAAAATAATCTCAAAATTCGTTTATGTCTCTCAATCATCATCTTCAAATAATTTGTTTTTTCTCTGTCCTGCATTTATCTCTATTACATATACTTTTCAAATAATCTTAAAATAATCCGGATTCATATTTTGATCCCAGATTATTGTTGCAAATAATCCTATTAAATAATCTATGTCACTCATTGATAATTCTCTAAAAAAAACTGTCATGTCACTAATTTAATCTCGTAATAATCCTCCCAATGAGGATGCCCTTATAAGTTTAGTATTCTAGCTTGTGTATCTATTTATGGCTAGCTAAGACTCCGTTGTTTTAGTGGATGTAATGGTGACTTACTAAGACTGTGTTGCTTACAAGAATTCTATTCTCTCGTGTTCTCATGTATAGGTAATAAATGAAGAATGGAAGCCTGAGAGAATGTATGGAGCTGGTGACAAGGTTGTAGATGGTCGGATTAACAAAGAAGACCTGGTTGTTTCTTATGTTTTGTTTTAGTACTTTGATACATCTACAGGTTGTTTAAATGTTTGTTTCAAAATCTTGATCAGGTGTAAAAGTTTTGCGTAAGGATGATTTCTTTTGTTTACTTGACGTTTTGTTACGAAGTTTGGTTATGTGTATAAGAAATAAAGTTTCAGGAAGAGACTTTGTATCTTTATTTCCGCTTTGTATATCGAGTCTTGTACTATGTTTGAGTATCGTAATGGCCGTTTGGGGATGGTCGTTACAAAAATACCCTTGGATTTACAAATCATATGAGTGAACGAAGTGTAAATATCCCTTTATCCAATGATGCAAAAAATAAAAGTATAGCAGAAGAGTCACCATCCCCCCCCCCCCATAACTCGGCCGAGGATGACCCCTCCCAAAATATCCCTTCCATAGAGTGTTAAACCACTTAACCCACAAAATCATTGACCTGTCATGAATCCCAACCTCAAAACAATCCCGAGGATAATGATTTTGACAGTCTATTCCTTATAGACATATTAATTGAAGAGGATAATTTAGACAGTTTCACTCTGGTGATCTCGAGGAAAAATAAATAAACAAGTCACCAACAACAAATAACTTCAATCCAGATGCTAGAAACCTATAACAGAGGATATAGTCCACACAGATGCTAACAAGGAGCAAAGTCAAAGTTGGACTAACAAAGTTTGAGTTTATGTCTATCCCGAAGAACACAAATTTGGATCGCCTCAGAAATTGGTGCAATGTTTGGCTTGGTACCTGAGAAGAACATTTATCCTCCATACATTCAAAGGGGACCAAATTCCATCACAAATACAACAGAGAGACCTGTCTATGTATGTCAGACTCCCCAATAATTTTATTTATACAGTAAACCAGTAGGCTTGATGTTTTAATCTTTTGCTTTTTACTTTTACATGTTTTAATTTATTTTTTCTCGAGAAAACCTTGGTTTGATATTCTTGCTCAATGTACTACATATTTCTTTAACAAATGGGCGATGTGTTCTCTAGCTCTCACCCTACCTTTTGGTAATTGGTATTGGCTTGACACCGGGAAAAAAATATCATTCGAACACTATGTGCTATACGTGTGAGAATGGACAGAACCACTGAGTTTGGGTTCAGTTTTTTAACTTTTTTACGAATGGAATGTCAATTATTTCCTCCTTGTTATCCCTTCATTGCTATCAATATTATACTCCTCAATTATTACTACTCCTATTATTATTATTATTTTGAAGAGACTACTCCTATTATCAGTGGAGGACCTAAGGGGGCTAGGGGGCATGTGCCCCCACTCCGGGTCTGGAAATTCACTAGTAGCACTTAAGGTAAAAATCAGTGTCCCGCTTCGGAAACGAAGATTATATTATAAACTAATTTTAGTGTCTAGTGTGACTCCGCTCTCATAAATCTCTGGATCCGTCTTTGCCTATTATTATTCTAATTTTCTGATTATCTATCAAAAGTCAATGAGCTTACTGTCCAAACATATACGGACGGATGACATCGTTCTTTTTGCCGGTAGTTGTAGTTTTGGACATGGTAGAATTCCTCTAGCCTTTTCCTTATTCTTTGGCTCTTTGCCACTATAATTCAATTCTTATTGAACTAAGGTCTCGGCATTCTCATGTAGTCACGTGGACTATTCTATATTTCGTGATTTATTTTTTATGTTCATATTTTATACACGAAAATGAAAGTTTTATGTTCGGATTTCAAAACATTTTAAAATGATCATGATCGAGGAATATGATAATTAAGTACTCTCCTAAGTCCTAACTACTACATTTCCAAATTACTCCATATACTATTCTTCAATAGTTCACAATGTTTGACGGTACATAATTGATGTTTTTTTAGGTTTTGGGGGATGGAGGGACTTTAAACTTCAAATAACTATACAGATAATTATATTAAACCGTTTACTTTTATATACGGAGTACTGTTTTGTCTTCACTTTATTTGAATTTTCCTAAACGTAAAAAATATTTTAAATTTAAATATGACTCCTCTCTTCCATCTCTTCCGAAATACTCCAACCATACTGGTCCTTAAAGACGACAAACTTTCACCTTACTTAAATTTCATTTTTTGTAACTGTTTTTCTAGTTTGTTGGTGTCCAAGTATAAGTTCTCATTGACCACGACCTATAGGAACCAAGCTATTTACCGTTTTAACCTTGTTTGCATAAGCTCGTGCACAGATCGTTCAATAATCCAGGGGACTTTCACTTTGACATGTCTTCACCCATGATCTTCTGTCATCTAACACATAAATTATTATTGGTAGGTAATTTGACGTGTGTAAAAATTCATCAAATGTCCGTTCAATCGCGAACTTGAGTATGACAATAATTTAATACATACTATGTATTAAATTATTATCCTTAGCTTACTAACTTATTGTCCTTAGCTTACTTACTTATTATATTATAGTATTTACTCTACTTATTATAGTATTTACTCTACTTATTATGTTAATTATCAAATATCAACATCTTGAGTTTCAGTCATGTGACATTCTCCTAGAAGTGTGACTGTAATATCAACCATGAGATGGTTGTCATACATAATTAAAAATTAAAAAATAAGAATTGAACAAACTTAAGAATATGGGAAATCGAGTATAGAGTCTTGTTCTTATTCAGCCGGTATGACGGGAACCGCTGTCCGGCCGATGACATTTCAGGACCTTCCTGGTGGAATTTTTTGATAAAAGATTTTGAGTATATTCTTCATCAAATCTAGTTTATTCATACCAAATAGTCAAATGTGTAATTGAAAAAGACTGTGTTGTTTATATATAAGAGTATATATAAAGCGCAATTATCTTCAAAAAACTGTTTCACTGTCTTTCCGATTGAATTTTTAATATATATTTAATATGAGTAACTAGATTTGATGAAAAATACGTTCAAAAAAATTCATCAAACAATTTAATCTGGAAGGTCCTGGAATGCTCTCGGCCGGACACCCATTCCGTATTTATTTACAGACGCAAGAGTTGTTGGGTGGAATTAAATGATTTTTCATTTTAAATTGAAACGTATTCCATTACTACAGTAAGAGTTGGCAGATTGACTTTGGTTAAGACAGTCCCCCTGCTACGTACCACCTAAAATATCAATACACCATATTCAATTGTCAAAGTCAACTCCCCTGAAAGCAACCAAATTAAATACACAGTACAAAGAGGAAAACCCGGTCTCGAGCAAATTAAGTTTAAATATCGAAATTTGAATTTAGACCATAATTACTCCTACTTTATTTATTTATTTTTGTTTTTGAAAGTCAACTCCTCTCCTTTTCAACCTTCTTCTTCTCTCATCTCCACTTACTCCATCCCTAACCATAATTTGATTATTTATTTAAATCGTCAAGCAATTACACCGCAGGAATCCTCAACTCTTGACTCTCGCAGTAGAAATATCAGATGGATTCACTTGTACGCTTACATATGTAGATCGTTTTAAGAAAGATCGAATCTTTGTTCTGTTTCTTGATCTGGGCTGACGGGAAAATATGGGCAACGGAATCGGAAAACTGAACATCTGCTTCGCCGGGGGTTGTGGGGAGGTTTCCCGGCGGCGGCACGACATCGCCGTTAATCTCTTGGACCCTCTGGATGAAGGGCTCGGCCATTCTTTTTTCTACATAAAGCCCGACCCGTCTGCCAAGACTCATCCTTTCTCCGACGACTCTTGCTCTTCCGCCACCACCACAATCACCAGCACCAGCTCCATGACGACGGCGTTCCACACAATCTGCGGCGCCTCCATCTCCGCCAACACCTCCACTCCTCTCTCCACCGCCCTCTTCGACCTCGGCCACGAAAAGGCTTCAGCTTTCGAGAGTTCACAGTTCTTTTCCTCCATCCCTTTGCAGCCAGTTCCCCGGAGTTGCATCGCATCTGTCCGGTCCGGCCCGATTCCTGGGGTTTCGGGCTTAGGGTCTAGTCATATTGAGGGCGGGTTCTTATCTGCTCCGATCCTGGATAACCAATACTATCAGGTCCAAAGGTACAAACCCAAATCCGAGAATTGGAATTTATTCCGGGATTTGAAGAAATTCTTCTCCACGGATTTGAAAGAAAGCGAAACCAAGAACTGCTATGGAGTTCATAGTATAAGCAGCCAAGCTAGTTTAGCTGAAGAAGATAATGATGATATAGGAAAAGACTCATCCTTTAGGGGCCAAAATGTCCAATGGGCCCAGGGAAAAGCAGGAGAAGACCGAGTTCATGTCGTAATCTCGGAGGAACACGATTTGGTTTTTGTTGGGATTTATGATGGTTTCAATGGTCCAGATGCAACAGACTTCTTGTTACAAAACCTATACACAAATGTCTTCAAAGAGCTCAAGGGACTACCACAATGGGCTGAAAAGCCCGAACCCGACGTCTTGAATGCGCTATCAGAAGGGTTAAGGAAAACTGAAATGGATTATTTGAACATAACTGATCTGATGCTGAATGAGAATCCGGAATTGGCGTTAATGGGATCTTGTGTTTTGGCAATGCTTATGAAGGGTCAGGATGTGTTCTTGATGAATGTTGGGGATAGCAGAGCTGTATTGGCCCAAAGACCCGCAGACGAGTTTGATGGAAGCACGACGAGTGTTGATAATGATAAGCTATACCGAGCTATGTCGGACCGTAAGCACAATCTGGCTTCTCATCAACTCACTGTTGACCACTGCACTTCTACTACTGAGGTGTGGAATTCACCATCTGTCTCAGAAAAAAGATTAAGCTGGTTGATGAACTATACATTTATCATTGATATTCGCTGTGATTATTTCTAAAAACACTTAAAATGCGTTTGCAGGAAGTTAAGAGAATCAAAAGAGAACATCCTGATGATTCCTCTGCAATCAAGAACGATAGGGTGAAAGGTTCTTTAGCAGTGACCCGAGCTTTCGGAGCGGCTTATCTCAAACATGTACGTCAGGATTGGAGGATTTACTTTAAATTATGTGCATTTTTTGTATGGGTTTTTCTTTTAATATTGCTAAAAAAGATAATATAAAAAAATGTGACTCGGTCTTACAGTCGTGAAAATATGGTCATGTAGTATAAAATTGAGCATCAGTTTTTCATGTATTTGTTGTTTTTCATGAATATATTGACCTAATCTCTATGTATCTTACAGCCGAAGTGGAACGATGCAGTTCTTGAGGCCTTCCAAGTTGACTATAAAGGGGATGCTCCCTACATAAACTGCATACCTTCGCTCCACCACCACAAGCTAGGCCCTAAGGACAAGTTCTTGATCTTGTCATCGGATGGGCTTTACCAGTACTTCACTAACGGCGAAGCGGTCTCTGAGGTAGAGACATTCATGTCTATATTCCCTGATGGTGATCCTGCTCAGCATCTCATTGAAGAAGTAATTTTCAGAGCGGCTAAGAAAGCAGGTAGGGAACTAGTTTAATGACACAAACACAAATGTGTAGCTTAAATATTTTGATATGAGACACTTGACATTAAACCATTATTGTTACATTGTAGGCATGGATTTTCACGAATTGCTAGATATACCACAAGGGCAGCGGAGAAGGTACCATGACGACGTCTCCATTATTGTTATTTCTTTTGAAGGAAGGTTATGGCAATCGTCTCTGTGATTCGGCAATATGTATATAATTTTTTTGATTTGTTAAAAAAACTTGACCCCATTTTTGCAAATAGTGTTCATAGTAGGGAGAGAGGCTTTGCTGAGATAGAGATATGTTTCTTTTATATGGGGACTGTCCTTTGCCTATAACCCCTTTTTTGCCTCAATGTGAAATATATATACACAACATAGGAAAGTAACACTGTATAAAAGATATTACATCACAAAGCTTTATAGCTTTAATTACCAATTGGTTAAAATTCATTTGTGCTGTGTACTGTTGTTTTCCTCATTTTTTGTTGTTCCTCAGTTTCAATTTTCAAACATTGAATCAATCTTAATGTCATAAGCTACAAGTAAAACTAGTAAAGAGCACTGTGATATTGTCACATCCAAGTTAATAACCTGTAGGGTGTAAAATTAAGGTAATTAAAACCTAATGTTATTTTTCCTTTGCTTTGATCAATTGATCCTATGGTCAGCCAAATTACTCATCACTTTTTTATTGACTTCTTTTCAAAATAACAAAATGGAGTTTCAATCTCATAGGTCTACAAAAAAATGTGGTGATATAACACTACTATATATGTGTGTGGAGCAAGTCAACACAGTTTTAGGTCTTATAATAATAATAATAGTATCTTGAAAGTGCATATTTGTCAAAGTCCTACAATTAGCTTTAAAGAAATTAAATCTCCCAATAAACGCATATATTTCAAGATTTGAATCATATGTCCGGCCCGGTAGACTCCAGCAAGCAAATCAGTTGGTAAAGCGGAGGTATTAGTCAGTTATAATCATCATTCACATTTGACCTTCTACGCTTATAGGCCCATCATTTGCTAATCTAATCCATCTTTAAGTGGAAATGTGGAATTTAAAGCTTAGCTAGAGAATAATTCTAATAAGTCATAGGTGGAATCTGAAAACTTAGCAAAACCACTTTGTATTATGTCACATAATACATTGGATTTTTAAAAAGTTCTACTTAGAATCTGATTTAAAATGATATAAATGGTCAACCTTTAAAATGCATGCATGTATGTGTGTACTTCGGAAAATTGCCCTAAATAGGAGTACACTGGTTTTGAAAAAATAGGAGTTGTTATCGATTGAAAAATACTACTATTAATGGCAGTAAATATTGTCTGACTCCAAGATGTCAGTGGGTATTAGAGAAAATTATCTCTCATGTGTCTAAAACATTAACCACTTCCCAATATACGAGTTCATGAGTTTTTTCCCTAAATTAATGGGTGCATGAGTATTTATTGTTAATTTGTTATAATCCTACGGTTCCTACATATCCTTTTAACATGCAAGTTAAAGAGGAATCCTAATAATATGGTAACCGTTTTAGTCATATAATGGGAAGTTTCATTAGTTAGTCATATTATGAGAAATGCTCTATGTTTTAGTAATATTGGCGTAATTTTCCCTAGATATTATCATGTTTCTCCTATTTCGGGAAGAAAACAGCAGTCCTGTTTTTTCAAAACCGATTTAGTTCTATTTCATTTCAAGAACTTTCCCTACTTTTTATTATCAAGTTGACCCAGGATTAACAAAATAAAGTAAAATATCATTTAACATTTTGATTAAGTTTTACGGAATACAATTATAATAGAAATTAAATATAGATTTGGACTCAATCTATTTAAGATGGGAAAAGGTTGAAGTTGAAGTAAACGGAGTTGCAACTTGCAAGACATTTCGCATTTAGTAAAGCACAATCAGGGAGATAGAGATGTACGTGTAAAACTAGTGAATTCCAAGTAAACGCGAGTTGCTTGACGTTTCACATTTGGTTGTATTTTTTTTTTTTGAAAATGAACTAGATCAAGGAAAACACTATTTCATTTATTTTCCTATCCTGCAATTGCACATTTATTATAAAAATTATACCAGTTCGTATACCGTGGGATCGTTCCACGGTGAGCACCGTGCTCCACTCCTAAAACTATGGATGGACTCGGGTCCGGGCCGGGTCCAGGTCGGGCCTAGGCCCGGGCGGGCCGGCGGGTCAGAAATGGTGGACCCGGGTAACCACCGGGTCCGGTCCCAAATTATATTTTTTGTTTTCCTCTTCCTAATTAACCCCCCTCCCACCCCCAACCCCCCAAACCATCCCAAATGGCCCAAAATACCCAGCCCAATCCGAAAATTTAAAAAAAATTGAAAAAAAAAATAGTTTTTGGCCCGAACCAGGCCCGGGCCCGGCCGGGTCGGGCCTTGTTTTGGGTGACCCGAGCCCGGACCGGAAAACCCACGGGTCGGGCCTACCCGGACCGGTCACTGACCGGGCCACCGGGTCGGGCCGGGCCGGAACAGTACCGGTCCCGGGCCGGTTCCGGGTCGGCCACCCGGCCCGAGTCCATCCATACCTAAAACGACGTAGTTTTGAACAATTTTAAAAAAAAAAATCGCGTGAACAGTACACGCGTGTACAGTGACTATTTTTTCTTTCTTTTTATCCCAGTAGAGTGAATGATGTAACCCGCGTGTAAAGATATGTAACTTACGTTATTGATTGATGTAACTCAAGTTCATTCGAAATGTAACTTGTTGGAAAATTGAACAATGACTTTTTTTTGTGTTTGAGAATTATATATATATTATAAACATTAATTTCAATGTAAACAATGAAAAATTGATCCTAATATCTTAATAACTTTTTTTAAATAGTGAATATGTTTTATTTTTAATATTAGAGCTATAAAAATGACATTGCAGAGGTTTATTCCGTGGTGTAACTCGCATACATTAAGATGTAACTCGCGTCTATTAAGATGTAACTCGCGTACATTGAGATGTAAATGAAATGTAAGAATATGTAACTTCATGTATTATACAAACGCGCACACATATATATACATATACAGTATATATCAATTAATTCCATCAATCAACATCAAAATGGAAAAATTTATATTAATGGAATTTGATTAAAGGGTAGATGTTAAATGAAAGCAAATGAATCTGCTTTCAAGGGTTATGCGTGAATCCATGATTCCATATTTTCATCGATACCATGATTTCATATTTCAAGGGTTAAGCAGAAAGTTAGAAGTTTATGATGTGTAATTCATCGATCAACATCAACGATTACGTTCCTTACCGTTGTGACGGATTGAAGAGCAGACATTGAAGAGCTTCTGTAAAAACGATGATGGCTCCTTAATTACTGTTGCTACGGAAGATCAATGGTTCTATTTATTTTGGCAAGAAATTGTTTTTCTATTTAATTGATAAAGTGATACCATTTTGGGATCGGCACACCATGTTCAAGGTGCGCCGATCCCACGGTATAATTTGTCAATTATACTGAGTACAAGTTTTTATTATTCAATAATACAATAAATGCATATGCGCTCTTATGTAATAAAAAATGTTAGTAGTAATGCAAGGCAATCTTTAGTGATTTGAAAAATCGATGAAAAATCTGCCCTGATACTGCTTAAATTAGGAAAAGGATGATCAGTGATCAGCCACTTTTTGACTTGTTTGATGAAGACTATATTTGGGAGGCATAAGTCTCTATCTTCTAGCTTTTGTATTGTTCAAAAAGTCTCTATAAGCTTCTAGTTATATGTTTGGTATGACAATTTTTAAGAGCTTTTTAAAAATTAAAAGATCTTTTTTGAGATGCTACAGGCAGTAGCATCTGAAAATTGCCCATGACTTTTAGTATTAATTAGTCCTAACAGCTTGTATACCAAACCGAACTAAATCAAACAGTCAGCTTTTTACCAAGCAGCTACCACCTTTTCTCTTTAAGATCTTTTCAATCACTAAAAGCTAACAGTTATTAAAAAACTCACAAAAGTATCTTTTTAACTAGTTGTGCCAAACATACCCGAAATATAGGGAGTAGGTAGAGCCGTCAAAATGGGCCGAAACCCGCGGGCTGACCCGTTTAAACCCATTTATCGGTGGGTTAGGGTTGAAAATTTCTGACCCATTTCGTTCGCGGGTTTCGTGGGTCAATATACAAAAATATAATTTTAAAATTTTATTATCTTAAATATTATCCTTTTACTACCAATATTATTATAATTACAAATAAAAAATTACAACCATGGCAAAACAATATTTATTTCAATAATAAATACTCAAATAAAATGTTGAAACATATATTTTATGTGAAGTTCGATACAATATTTAACAATTAGTAGTCATTATTTACAAATAATTAATCAAAAGGTTTATGTAGATCTTTATTTTTATACAATGAGTACTTTTGTCGCATACCCTCTTATAGTTTTCAAATTCTCGTATAACTAGTACTCCGTATTTAATATTTTTTAATTAAACTTAACAAGTATTGAATTTTTAGTATTTTGATTTTTTATATTTCCTTTGTTACTACTTACTAATATAAATTTATACTTCCGGGTAATTATTTTTAATTTTTTTGTTATATATTTTTTTTACATATTGGCCCGCGGGCCAACCCTTTAACCCACGGGTTAGGTGGATTGGGTTAGGGTTGTAGAAATTCTGGCCCGTCATTAAACGGGTTGGCCCGACCCAACCCACATAGACCATAACCCGTCACGGGTCGGGTCGGGTCGGGTTGGGACGGGTTGGCCCATTTGACAGCTCTAGGAGTAGGAGCTACCGGGATTGGTATGTCCTGGATAATTACTAGGCCACTGCTCTCCCCATCCGAGAGGAGCAGCAAGAGCTAGCATAGAATTACCAGCTAGCACAGATAATCCGTCCTACGACTACGAATATGCCTAAGACTGCTCCAGACCCCGAAAGCCTAGAAGTAAAACAGCTGAAATGAAAATGCTACTAATATGAGAGTTTGGGTTGACATTTTGAAAAATGGCGTTTTTACTAATTTTATGGCCAAAAAACTAAATTACCAAACATTTTCTGACAATCCACCAATTTATTCCGCTAGTCAAACCCACTGACTGAATCCGCTAGTGACAACTCACTAACATAACTCACTATCTGCTAACCGCTGAATGCCAAACACGCCTATTCGCCGAATGCCAAACACATCCATTATGTCTAAGGTTCTCAAACACTTTTTACACGACAAACTAAATTTTGTAACATCTGATTTTATATAATAGATTTAACCAATTTGATTATGTATATGTGTGTGTATTATCAGGTAATAGTTAATTTTATCATCAATCTACAAATGCAAAACGCTCGAGGAATATTATATGAGATCATGTGAAGAATGAAGTATTTATATAAGTTAAAATAGATATGGTTCGAATATTTATCCAAGGAATCGGTAACCGTCG